AGGCTGTCTGGGGCTTCCCTTGAAGGCTCACGGTGCTGGTCACCAGCTCTCTCTGCTGGCCACATGTGATCAAAGGACAACAGCATCTGCCCAAATGCTCTTGCCTTTGCTCTATTGACTTCCCCCAAAAATATTAATTTAACATTTTTAAATTTCGAAAGTCATTCACAATTTTTACTGGAAACAATAAAAAGCTAAAGAAAATGAATTATCCATTATCATGTCACCTAGAGATGGCAATTGATTGATTTCTGCAAGCATAATATAAGTATATTATATTAGATAAATATATCTGTATGTTTCCTCAGTTTACTCATGTTGTTATCAGCTTTCTGGGGATACCCTTTCCTTTACTATACAAATAAGAACAATCCAACTCCTATTCTGGTGTTTGCAAGGGAATCTCTTCCCCTACTCAAGTATTTCTGGAAATCCTACAAATTTCTGTTCATTTTCTCTCTTCTCCATTCAGAGTGTTCACTCACCTTGAGGCTACTCTAGAAGAAGAAATGGTTTGGAAAAATGTTTTATGTCTCTTCAAAACATCCCCTACTCCTTTTGGAAAGCTAGGACCTGCATCCCTGCCTTAGGCCAGTGGTCAGGAGGGGCAGAGGAGTGTCCTTTGTTCTTTGCGTCACAGGGGATATATATATATTTTTTCATAATACTAGTGTGAACATGCTTTAAAAAGACAAAGGTTCTGTATCTTCTATTTCAGTACCAGAGTATCCCTTATACACCTCTTCCATATACTTCAGAAAAAATGATTCTACTGAACTTCGACAACTGTGTCTCTCAAATTGCAGACAAAGATCTATAAAATGTGAGAAATTTTTAATTTTATGTTTTCATTTCAATGATAGTCTCTAAATATTAGTGTAGCCATCTTATAATTGAAAACTTTCATAAGACATTAATATGTCTTCTTTCAATCAAGTGATATCCATTAGTACCTCTAATTGTCAGGGACTAATGTAGAAAAGTACAATGACAGAATTAAAACTTAAATGCCCACCAGAGAGTCAAATGATGTTACCCTTCTCAAATAGAAGGTTTTGTAGTACTAGTTCAAATAAAGAAAGGTGGGAAAGTTGAGTCATCACATGAACCACAATAGGGATATTTTTTTTTTCGAAAAGAATCTTCTCTGAGATAAATTGATATATGTATATTATAAGCAATAATTTAATTTGACAAATTATCATCTATGCTATAAGTTAGCATAATTAATTTGAACAATACTGTGTTGCTTATAAATGCAATCTGCCTTTATGGTTTCATAAGTATGATTCAATATAAAAAGTTATTTGCTAATCTTATAATTCTATATATTTCTGTGATATTAAAATAAAACTGAAGTCAGCAATGGGGGTTTATGAGAATATTACCTGCATTTCAAATGGGGTCGATACCTTAAACTAGTTTGAGAAAACACTGTTCTTCTAAACAGACTGTTCTCTTACCTTTCTTCCTAATTCCTAAAACCACCATCCCTGAGTCTTGAGCCTAGGGAAGAGGGAGAAAGGTCCAGAAGGGTTTTATGAACCATTCTAATAGGTATGTAGTGTTATCTCATTGTCATTTTAATTTACATTTCCCTAATGACTAATGATTTTGACTATCTTTTTATGTGTTTATTTGCCATCTATAAAATCATGACTTCCCACCCAATCCTCAGAGGCCATGAAACATTCACCTATCAGTTCTACTTAACTGAGATAGACTCTCTTCTTCTCTTGTCTGTCTTTGATACTGACTAGATCTCTTAAAACCTTTTCCAAATTTAAGAATCTTAAGAATTTTTTTTCTTCCTATAAGATGCCAGTATAATCTGAGTATAGCTCCTATATGATAAGACATTCTGCCACCTAAAATTATATATTATTACTATTAAAAATAATAAATGATATTATAGAAAGATAGGGTCAATATAGGATTAAAAGCAAATATTTACATTTAAGTTTATTACCAATAGATATAAGATTAACTAAAGTCTAAGAAGAAAAGCCAGTATCTGGCTTTGAATGCAATTCATGCATTCAAAAATATTTACTGAGTGCCTATTGTGTGTTAAGTGCTATTTCTGGTGTTGAGAATAAAGCTATTAACAAAGTAAACCAAGTTCCTGTAACTACTCTATAGAGTGGAATAGTCATATAAACAATGAACATATAAAAATATAACATACTAGACACTGAAAACTGTGTTGGAGAAACAAAACATAGTAAGAGACCTGGAAAAGGTGGGTGTGGTTAATATTTATATGGCTAGGGAATTCCTCATTAATAACGTGACAGGAAAGAATACGCATATGCTATTTAGAGGAGGAATATTCCAGGCTGAGGAACAGCAAACACTTCTTGAGGGAGAAGTGTTTCTTGGCATGTAAGAGCAACTGCAAGGAGGTACAGGTTTGCTAATTTGAAAAATAAAATGAACCGACAGCAACATACCGTTTTAAAACATTTCATTCTATATGAAGCCATCTATTCAAAATATAACATAAAAGTTCATGATTTTCCATTTAAATGCGGTAATTAGACTAGGAAAATTCTGACATTTCCTAGCGAAAGTATTTTTCAAAAGCCTTTTAAAACCAATACTTACTTGTCACAAAAAAACTAATACTACACTATTATATAACCACATAGTATATTCTGCATTTATCTCTAAACAGAGAAACAATTGCAAATACAGAGAAATGTGGAGATACTAAGTACCTATTTTTTTTGGAGTTTGATTAAAAACAAAAAGAGCAGAGCCCTTTTCTCACTCAGGAAAATAAATCACCTCAGAAAAACTGAAAAGCATTAGCCTACAATTACTATTTAAAAACAAACACAACTTTTAAAACAGTGAATTTTCACATTTTGCATAGGATTAAGTTGAGCAACAGTATGGAATTAATAAAATAAGCATATATAGTCATCTCCCTATATCCTCAGGGATTGGTTCCAGGACCCCTCATAGATACCAAAACCCATGGATACACAAGTCCCTTACATAAAATAACATGATATTTGCTTATAACTTATGTGTACTTTCCTGTATGCTTTAAATCATCTCTCAATTAATTTAATACCTTATGCAATGTAAATGCTATGTAAATAGTAATTATACTGCATTGTTTGTGGAATAATGACAAAAAAAAACCTGTACATGTTCAGTACAGACACAACCATCCTTTTCTAATTTTTCAAATATTTTCTATCTGTGGTTGGTTTAATCCATGGGTACAGAACCATGGATATGGATAGTCAACTGTACACTTGAATTTCCATTCAATCAAATAGCTCTATAAAATATTTTTAAATTCCTTTATTCTCCTTGACCAGGGAAAATATGAATTTGAATTTATCATTTTAACCAACTATAATAAAATTGAGCATTAACCCAAGATAAACTTTATAGCACTTGACTTTAATCCAAAGTATGAATTAAAAAACCATTAAAATATATAAAACTTTTTGTATGCTACATTTTCTCCCTTGACTTTTTTTTTCTTTTTTTTTTTTTTTTTTTATATGTGCAGTGTGCATAGATCTCCCTTGACTTTTTGCTTGGCTTAATAAATCCCAAATGCTGTTTGGTAGCTTACACGATTTATTCATATTCTTTATGTTACAAAGATCCATAATTAAATTTTCTAAAAATAAATCTAAAAATTATAAAATCATAATCCAATTTTATCCTAATTTAAGGAATTTTTTCTATTGAGATGAGGCATGACTAAAATTGAAAAACCTGAATATTGATGACGCTATGGAACAAGTGGAAATCTCCTATATACTGCAGATCGGAATATAACTCAGCATACACTTATATCTTATAACTAATACACCATAAGCCCTTGCAATATCCCCTCATCTTCAGATACCCTGTTCACAATGTTCACTACTGAAATCTATGCCAGCAATAATCTTTCAAGGTTTTCTTATGGCATTTTCATTACTATCACTCCAAAAATCCCTCTCACTGTTTGAAGCAAATGAAATCCTACTGTATACAAAACAGCACTGAACACAATATCTAAACCTAAAATACTTACAAAATTGACTGCAGTAAAAAAAATTACCTAGGCCCAGTACAATGGCACACGCCTATAATCCTAGAGCACTTTGGGAGGTCAAGGTGGGAGGACTGCTTAAGGCCAGGAGTTTAAGACCAGCCTGAGCAAGAGTGAGACCCATCTCTACAAAAAAAAGAAAAATCAGCCTGGCACAGTGGTGCATGCTAGTAGTCCCAGCTACTTGGGAGGCTGAGGCAGGAGGATCACTGTAGCCCAAGAGTTTGAGGTTGTAGTGAGCTATGATGACACCATTGCACTCTAGCCCAGGCAACAGAATGAGACCCTGTCTCAAAAAAATAAAATAAAATTGGATAGAGAAAGACCCAGGAAATTTTTTTTAATATATGTTTTGAAACAGAGTCTCATTCTGTCACCCGGACTGGAGTGCAGTGGAGGCAGAATCACAACTCACTGCAACCTCCAACTAGCAGGCTCAAAGACTCAGGAGTAGCTGGGACTATAGGCATGTGCCACCACATCCTGCTAATTTTTATTTTGAGATGGGGTCTGCCTATGTTACTCGGGCTGGTCTCAAACTCCTAGCCTCAAGCAATCCTCCTGCCTTGGTCTCCAATGTGCTAGGATTACATGATCTAGGCAATTTCATAAAGTTTTACTACTTAATATTTATCACAGTGTGACAAATGTGATATAAAACATACACAAAGAGTAAACCAGGAGAAGGAAGAAAAGGAGTAACTGTAAGAACTTTCTAAAACAACATTTCAATCTGCTCCAGACACAAATTATGAAAAGAATAAAATAATCTCAGCAGATGAACTACTTTAAGATGATGGTGATATTTGCTACAGCAATTAGACTGTAATACCTTTAAAAAGTCATCTGTTTTACATTTTCCTCTAATTTTGTTACTTAATATAAAAGAAAGAAAACAAAAAAAAAGGAAAAAGAGAAAAGAAGAAAAGCTTACTGGGATTGAAAATTCCTCAGCCAAATACTTCAGTGAGGATGCTTCTCTTGCCAAGAATTTGTTTCTTTCTTTCAGATTGCCTTGAAGTTGTGTATCAAACTCCTTTCTGACCACAGAAGCAACAGAATCAATAATCACAAGTTTAACTCCTTTTGAAATAATTTCTTCCTCCAAAGATTCAATCCTACAAAAATAGAATTTGTAAAATAGTCGATGAATCTAAGATATAACAAATGGAGTACTTCAAAGGTTAATCAAACTAAAAACAACAAATTGTTCTTCCCTGAGTTACAGTAATAACTGCAAGAATTCAGTAAACATAACTTATTTTCAGCTCCTCTATACATATTGCACTTTTCTGGAAACAAAGCTAAATGTTTTTGTATAGATTCAGAATTCTTGGTTTTACCATGGTAATGCTAAAGCTTCCAATTTTAGAGTAACACTACTTGCGGTAGCCAGTCCTCAAATGGCCCCCATTTACTCCCACCTCCTGGTATTTCACATCCTTGTGCAGACACCTCCCACACTGTAGCTCCCATCTTGGATACTCTGTCACTTGCCCACTCTCTCTCTCAGATCAATGACTCTGGGGGAAGCAAGTTGTTCTGTTATGATTTATGGAGAGGTCCACACAGTGAGGAACAAAGGCCTCTTATCAATACCCAGCAAGAGGCCCTTCCAACAACTACCTGAGTGAGTTTAGAAGCAGATACTCCAGCCCCAGGAAAGCCTTGAGATAACTACAGTCCTGGCCACCAGCTTGACTACAACCTCTTGAGTCACCTTGGGCCCAGGTAAGCCATTCCTAGATACTTAACCCTCAGAAACTATATGAGATAACATGTTTGCTGCTTTAAGTTGCTTAACTTTGAGACAATTTGTTAATGGAACAATAGATAATTCATATGCCACTTAAATAATTAATTAAATCTAAAACATTTTATTCATTTAATATTTTTTTTTTCATTTTTAAAAAAAGACTTCATCCATGGCCGGGCGCGGTGGCTCACGCCTGTAATCCTAGCACTCTGGGAGGCCGAGGCGGGCGGATTGCTCGAGGTCAGGAGTTCAAAACCAGCCTGAGCAAGACCCCGTCTCTACCAAAATATAGAAAGAAATTAATTGACTAACTAAAAATATATATACAAAAAAAATTAGCCGGGCATGGTGGCGCATGCCTGTAGTCCCAGCTACTAGGGAGGCTGAGGCAGTAGGATCGCTGAGCCCAGGAGATTGAGGTTGCTGTGAGCCAGGCTGACGCCACGGCACTCACTCTAGCCTGGGCAACAAAGTGAGACTCTGTCTCAAAAAAAAAAAAAAAAGACTTCATCCAAAAGGCTATAGCAAATAAAGAACACTGAAATAATTGTTTTCCATAATTCTAATATGTAAGAATTTTTTTTTTTTACTCAGGCACTGAAAACATGAAAAACAAAACATAAATCTTCAAAGCATTACTAAAATATCAAAATCTAAAACAGCATACCTTTGTAGGACTTCATCACAGCTGAGTTCCCGATAAAGATGAACTTTACTACTTGTCAAAAGTAATTTTTCTTCAGTATTAAAATATCTGGGAAAACGGGATTCTGCTATCTCAACCAGTCTGTGAGGAGGAAAAAAATAGCACAAACAAAAATAGTCAATGATATTTAAAGCCACACTGTTGAACCTCTAATGAATTATCTGGAAAACCTATAAGCTTTATCAATACAGCAGATATAAGCAAAGTGGCTTAAAATATAGGTTTAAAATGTAAGCTCTCCTTTTTAAGCATTAACACAGGTTAGCAGTCAGAGCATGAGACCAGCAAAGGTTTTGAATCTCATCTGATTTGGAGCAAGAAACAATGTCTCTGAGATTTATCTTTCTGGAATTAAATATGTTTTTTATAAATGACATTTTTGACTAACTATAAGACATGTTTAGTAAATAAGAAAAATGCTTTCATTTTCTTGAATGAAAGAAGCATATTTGAATAAATATCATATTATCATTTTAATAATCAGATATCAGTAAGTCTCCACATCTCATCCCAGAAAAATATGCTTTCTCAACTGAAACTTAATTCATAAGAATTAAGTGCTATGAAACAGTTTCTTAGTAACCTGAAAGTTAATTATCTAAACAAATTAATGCTATCCAATAGTTTCTTAGTAAACAAAAAAATTATTTTCTAAACACAAATCTAACATATGGAGTAGGCCAAGCACAGGAGAGAGACATATTGAAACAGAGATAACTATCATTATTAGTATTATAAGATATGCAGAACAGTACAAGAAATTTCAAATATTTCTGGTTAAAATATTAAAAATATAACTCTTTGAGTATAACTGTGTCCCATTTAAAATGACTCTTAACCAGCCCTAGTACTTAACCATCCAAGGGAGACTGGGAGGAGAGGCTGTAAACACAAAAACCATCCTATATTTTATGTTCCATTTAGAGACTCAAAAGCACAAAAGAACAGTGTTTTCATTTCTAAATAGTTAAAGAGTTCTGAGAAAAGGCTGGGAACTTTAAAGAGATAAACAAAATAAGTCCCTTACATATACTATAATCAGAAATGAAAGGGGAAAACCTAAAACAGGAAAAGAGAGAAATAAAAGAAAACTAGTCAACAACTTTTTTAAAATATATTTTTGAGCGATTTGAAAAGAAAAAAACATAATTAGGTTGAACAGGAAGAAGAAGAAAAAATACTTCAGGAGCAAGTAATAGTACCAAAAGAGGTGTAAAGTGTGGGAACAAAATGGGCCAAATGATCATTCAGGAAAAGTGCGTAAGAGAGGATAGGAAAGAAAATGAGGTAAGCGAGGAAGCTAGAAGAAATGAGATGGCACTGGCACAGGCAGAACAGGCAAAGTCTGAGGAGGAAGTGTGTAAATTTTTTTAATTAGGGCAACTATTTGCTGAGTTTAGTGCTAGTCCGAGAAGTCAGCTAAAAAGCTATAGCACTTGGAACTCATCAATTTTTAATAGGATAGGTATGGCAACATCTACCAGAAAGACAGAAGTTTTTCAAAATTTGCATGTCCAGTTGATTAGCAACCTTATTGAGAGTACCTAACTCCTTGGCAACAACAACTGAACAGCTGAAACAATTTTCTGCCCTCTAGCACTAGGCTGGATTTCAGCTAGTAGCTTAAGTGGTGAAAGACTCTGGAACTTATTGCTGCTTTCTCATTCCAGTAGTGCCACTCAGAAAGAGTTGTGGCCAAATGAATGAACATGAACTACCTTTGTTCACAGTTACCATGCTAAGTAACTGTATGGAATAAATAGTTACTTACACACCAATATGCTATAATTTTTTAAGTTTCTCCAAATGTTTTTTATTTTAGAAAACTCTGAAAAAATATAAATCAAAAACCAAACACAAATGTAGTATTCCACATGACTCACATTAATCATAGTAACATCATAAAGATCTTCTTTGTTTAGGGCAAGAAAAAGAAAAGAGCCTATCTTTTGCTCCCAGACATTAATTATATAAAGCAGGGGTCCTCAAACTTTTTAAACAGGGGGCCAGTTCACTGTCCCTCAGACCGTTGGAGGGACGGACTATAGTTTTAAAAAAATCTATGAACAAATTCCTATGTACACTGAACATATCTTATTTTGAAGTAAAAAAAAAAAACGGGCAAAAACACCCACATGTGGCCCTTGGGCCATAGTTTGAGGACACCTGATACAAAGTTTGAAAACAATGCCATCTAGTGGATATCTTTTTATAAAAGTATTCCTTTCAAAAGATGCACTTAAGATTCATTCATTTAACAAATATTTATTGAGGACCTACCATATGCCAGGCACCATTCTGAGTGCTAAGGATATGACAATGAACAAAAACTACCCAAAATAAAAGGAAAACCCTTCCCTCATGGAGTTTACACTCTACTAAAGAAGACAAACAAATAAATATACATTATCTATCAGGTAATAAGTACTCTTAAGAAAAGTGAAGCAGAAAGAAGGAACAGAATGTGACAGGTTGGGCAAGTGCTATTTTATGTAGGGTGGCCTGACAATGCCTCATGAATAAGGTGACATTTGAGCAAAAGCTTAATGAACCATGTGGATTTCCAGTGGAACAGCACACAGGAAGATGAAATTATAACCAGTGCAGAAGCCCAGATGTGGGAGATACCTGGTGTGTTTGAGGAACAGCAAAGAGGTTTCTGTGACTGGAACACAGGGAGCAAGAAAGAGAATAATAGGAACTAAGGTCAGAGAGCTAGCCATGACCAAGATCACCGGTCCCCATAGGACCTTTAAGTCTGTGTTACTTTGTTTAGATTTTATTTATTTTTTTTTTATTTTTTTTTTCATATTTAGATACACCTAAAATAGATTTTATTTAGTAAAATGGGAAGCCTAGGAGCAGGACTGACATGATCTGACTTTTTTTTTTTTTTTTTTTAAAGAATTGCTCTAGCTGTCAAATGGAGAAGAGGCTATAGATGTGACAAGAGTGAAAGGAAGGAAATCAGCTAGTTCAGCATTCTAGACAGAAGTTGATAGTGACCTAACCTAGGGAACTAATAGCTCAAGAGATTACAAATTACTGGACCCACGATATAGTTCAAAAGAGGAACTGAAATGATTTCTTGACTGATTGGATGAGCACCTGGAAGAATGGGATGACCATTTATTGAAGTGGAGAAGACTAGATTCAGATCAAGGTTTTGGTTATTGATGTTTATATGTTTTATTTTTCATGAGAGAATCAAGAATGCAGTTTTGGACATATCAAGACATCCAGGTATGTAAGCCCATCCATGACTCCCATCAACAGGCAAACAGATATGAATCTGGAGTGCATGAGAAAGCTCAGAACTCAGATATCAACCCAGGAGTTGTCAGCATATAGAAGATTTGAAAGATCATGGGACTGGATGACATCAGGGACTACGTACAGATATAGGAGGGCAAAGTTCCCAGGACTGAGTTCCAGGATTTTCCAAAGCTTAGAAGTTACAAAGATGAGAATCCAGCAAAAAAGACTGAGAGGAAGTGGCCAAGGAGGTACAGGTAAAATCAAGAGAAAATGGTTCCGAGAAGCCAACTGAAGAAATTTTTTCAAGAAAAAGGGAGTGATCAACCATTTCAAATGCTGCTATTGGGTTGGATAAAAATGTAAAAATAAGTTTCAGAACAGGGCTGGGACTTAAGGTACATGAGGTACATGAATAGAAGGGATTTCTACTTCTGTCCACAAAGAATTAACTGGTACAGGAATTGCACTGCAATCATAACCTAGAAAAGCAGACAAAATCTATGAAACAACAATTTTCAGACACTAAACAATAGACAGTTCAAAACCATGATCCTTGAGAGAAAGGAAACAAACAAGGTGAGCTTATGATCACCCCAATTGCGGCCAGAGGCAGTTCCCAAGCTGCAACAGAGAAAAGGGAGACCAAACAGAAGCCTGGTAGACAACCTGAGTTGAGAAGATAGGTATCAGAGACTGAGAAGGCCAAAGTAGCAAGAATTTATGGGGCAGAGTACCAGAGAGGAAGAAGGTGCAGAGGGGCACTGTGGAGATCTGCAGAAAGGTCCACTCAAGAACTAATCTGTGTATGTGTAAAAGGAAACTACCCAAGGTTGAGGAAACAACCAGCAGAAAATATGAGACTGAACAATTCTTAGTGCTCAAAAAAGGATGGGAATAGTTTTCACAAGTGTAAAGAGACCTCATTATACACTGAGCATTGGGTAGAGTTCTCAGAAGGGTTTTACCTTAGTAGTGAAGCTAAATTAGTTTCAGAATATAGACTACAGTCATGCACCACATAATGCTGTTTCAGTCCACAACACACTGCATATACAACAGTGGCCCCATAAGAGTATAATAATGTATTTTTACTCTATCTTTCCTATGTTTAGACAGGCAAATACTTACCATTCTGTTATAATATTTAATACAGTTATATGCTCTACAGGTTTTTATAGCCTAGGAGCAATAAGCTATACCATGTAGCCTAAGTGTGTAGTGGCTATATCATCTAGGTTTCTGTAAACATACTCTACGATGCACCCACAATGACAAAACTGCCTAACAATGCATTTCTCACAACATATCCCTGTCATTAATGATATATAACTGTACTTGGGATCTGCCATAACAAAATTTAAAAGTAACCCTCAATGGCGGGACACAGTGGCCCACACCCATAGTCCTAGCACTCTGGGAGGCCAAGGCAGTAAGACTGCTTGAGCTCAGGAGTTAAAGACCAGCCTGAGCAGCAGGAATGAGACCCCATCTGTACCAAAAATAGAAAACTTAGCCAGGTGTGGTGGCACACACCTGTAGCGCCAGCCACTCAGGTGGCTCAGGCAGGAGAATTCCTTGAGCCCTGGAGTTTGAAGTTGCAGTGAGCTATTAATATGATGACGCCACTGCACTTAAGCCGAGGTGACAGAGTGAGACTCTGTCTCCAAAAAATAAAAAAATAAATAAAAATAAAAGTAACGGAAGATGGCGGAAGAGAAACACCGCCAGACAGAGTATCTCTGCAGAAAAGACAGATTCTCGCAGAAATTAGAAAAAAGAAGCAAGAAGATGAGCATACAGCGGACAAGGGCTGGAAGGAGGGG